CCCACTGCACTTTCCCTCACCACCTTCACCCTCCCCACCTCCACCCTCACCTTACAACTACCCCTCACCACCACCTCCACCCCAGAAGAAGCCATACTACTATCACTCTCCCCCACCACCACCCAAGAAGAAGCCTTACTACTATCACTCTCCCCCACCACCTTCACCTCCTCCACCTAAGCCGTACTACTACCATTCTCCTCCCCCACCCTCACCACCTCCACCTAAGCCATACTACTACCATTCTCCCCCGCCACCTTCACCACCTCCACCGAAACCATATTACTACCACTCGCCACCCCCACCTCCACCCAAAAAGAAACCATACTACTACCACTCTCCACCGCCACCTCCTCCGAAGAAGCCTTACTACTACCACTCACCACCTCCTCCTCCCAAGAAGCCCTACAAATACTCGTCTCCCCCACCTCCAGTGCACCCTTATCCCCATCCTCACCCCCATCCCCACCCACACCCCCACCCACACCCTCCCTATGTTTACCACTCTCCTCCCCCACCGGTCCACCCTTACCCTCACCCGCATCCACACCCACACCCTCAACCTCACCCCCATCCACACCCACACCCACACCCTCCCTACGTGTACCCCTCTCCTCCTCCACCCCCTAAGAAGCCTTACAAATACCTGTCGCCTCCACCTCCTGTCCACCCATATCCCCACCCACACCCACACCCTCTTCCACACCCACACCCTCTTCCTCACCCCCATCCTTTGCCCCACCCGCACCCTCTTCCTCACCCCCATCCTTTGCCCCACCCACACCCTCATCCTTTGCCTCACCCTCATCCTCCTTACATTCCCCACCCAATCTATCACTCTCCACCACCACCACCCTACAAGAAGCCGTACAAGTACAAGTCCCCTCCTCCACCACCCCCGCACTATATCTACGCATCACCTCCCCCTCCTTACCACTCTTAGACGGTGGTCAACTAGGATAGTTCTATGGTAACCTTCTTCATTCCTACGTACATTCTATGTTATTATATTTTTTTAATAAATAGTTCCATTCTTTTACACGTATACTTGTTCCAAAACAAATTGAATACGAACCCCTCATGGCCCCCGTCAAGGTTTTTAAGTTGATAAGGAAAATGATTTTTCTGGTTCGGTCTTATAGGGGCCACGAACCCCTTCATGACATTGACAGACACAGTGTATATAATATGTGCATGTGTTGTGATGTTTTGTAGGATGTGAAGAATATGTGCGACAAATAAAGAAAGCGATGGAAAGAAGGGCGTCTGGCTTGGCGATGCACGAAAGAGAAAAATGGAAGCAAAGTTTCCGCGTTTTGTCTTTCATAAAAAGATGTTTAAATTATTTTCTATGATAGGGTTGTTTCTGCTATTTTACTTCTTTTATTTATGAATTTGGTGTATTTTAACAGTTGTAAAGCACTGCGCTCTGCGGATCATCGGTCATAATAGTACAACCTACCATGCTCTGTAGTTTTCAACCAGCTGCGTTTGCAGGGGTCGTAAAACTATTCAAATATAATTAAATAAATTATAATCTCTTTTCCGCACAATCTCTTACCCGATTTAACTAAAGTTCTTCGTTAAATAAATACAGTGTGTTCTGTTGTCGTTGATGTTGTCTACGTGCATTACCGCAAGTAACTTTTCATTCAATTGTCGGGTGCGACAAAATTTTCCGACAGGGAAAGTCACAAACCCAGACACCCTCTTCCTTCGTAGACTCAACCCATAACCACGATATTTTTTACGAATGTACAGTTTCTAACTCGTAATTCAACTCTACAATATTTTAAATATAAAAAATAATACTTTTATAAATAATTTCTTTATATTTATTTGATATAATCTTTTTTTTATTATTTTTTTTTTCTCGAAAATTCGTAAAAGCTTATTCTTTTATAAGTATTTTATGTTATTAATCTTGTTAAATGAATGGAAACATGTCTTTCTGTTGTTACTTTTTAAATATTATATTAACTGTAGTATTTGATGTGATTAAAAATTGTTATTTATTATGAAAGTGAGTGATTTGACACGTGGTTACATCGCTTTACCTAACATCGATGACATGTGAAGCTTGATAGAAACAAACGTAGACTTAGTCTTTGTAGGTTTTGAAAATAATAAGTTTGTAAAATGCAAGCATGGCGAATAAGAAATGTGAAGGAAGCATGCTGTTATGTTACCAGAAGAAGTGTTATTCGATTGTCCTCTTACATAGTCTGAAAAAAACATTTTCTTTGTAACTTGTATTGAATTGCAATAAATAGCGTTGATGATAAGTGTGAATTAAAGAAAGATTGTGATGAGTATGGGAAGTTTGTGAGTTGGTGTTAGTCTTGCTAACATGTTTGGACACATGTTATGAGAAAATTAGTATGAGGAGGAGGCCCTACCAATTAAGGTATGGATTTTTAGGTGGATGGGATGCTGAGACCAGTGTTCTCGTCTTTTGTTCTTTTCCCCTTTTTTATGTATCTGATTGCGAATTAGGTTTCCTCTCTATGACCCGCGGGAAAACTAGATGTGACATACAGCTCAACATTTTCCAACTCATCAATAAATACCTATAATTAATACTAGACAGGGAGAAAACTTTAATTCTCATTGGATAATAATTTCTTTTGCTGTTTTAAACAACTTGGGATACTTTCATTTTAAATGGTTTTCTATTTAAACTCTTTTTTTAACAAATTTAAATATATTGAACTTTAACAAATACTTTCTGATTATTTTTATTCATATCAAATAAAATTATTTTATTGATGCCATTAATCAGTCTTTTTTTTCTAATTTCTTTTATCAATATTGATTGATAAAACTGTACTGAACTTTAACAAATACTTTCTAATTAATTTTTATTCATATCAAATGAAATTTTTTTATTGATGCCATTAATCAGTCCTTTTTTTTCTAATTTCTTTTATCAATATTGACAAAAAGTAGTCTTAGTAAAGGTTAGAAAAATAATTTGCCATGTGACGGACAAAAAAGTTATAATTAATTGTACGCATTAGTGTTTTGGATCAAAAGAATTTCTTACAAATGATCAAACTAAAAAATAAACTCGATAAATGTAAAAAAAAATGTATGTTGACATAGATAGATAAATATTATCAGATAGTAAATGAGAAAACACTAATGATCAGTAATTGAGAAATAAAACTAAGTAGATCAACAAAAATATAATTTCAATATTGTCAATAGGAATATGATAAACTTGCATTAACAAAAGATATTTCCACTAAATTGAGAAAAAAGCTCGGTTGGCATAAACTGAAAGTTATTTTCGTAAATATTAGCTGAAAAAGTTATCTTTAAAGTCGATGGAGAAATTATCTCAACTATCTTCGATAAAAAAATTTTAAAAAAATATATAAATATCATATTTTCACATAAAAAATATCATATATTATAATAAATTTATAAAATAAGTACAATATTTAAAATAAAAGTATTTAATTATTTTAACAATAATAAGAGGAAAAGGGATAAGATGTTTTATAAAGAGAAATTAAACACAACTTAATTATAAGTATTTCACATGAAAATCTAAAAAAATTGGATATTAATCAATTATATGCTAAAATTTAAAATGTTTAAAAGAATGAGGGGTATCAACCAGCACCATGTGTTACATTTATAAAATCTGTCTAAATGATGCTATAGGCATTGAGACACCCTAGATTTTACGTTAATTATGAACTTGTCTAAGCTCGCAGACATTCTTGGTCATTGTCTCTGCCTAGTAATATAAAAGGACTTTAATGCTTTTTTAGACAATTAATGAATATGCGTGATTTATCGTCACGTCAGATCGAATTATTTAAGAATAAATTGCAGTTTTCTCTGTTTCTATTTATTTATACTTAATTTTATCTCTTTCTTATTTGATCTTTAGTTTTTAAAATCAATGTAATCTTTCTCCTTCTGTTCAATTTAGGTATGCCGTAAGAGTGTAAGAATTCATACTTTGTAGAGATAAATTTAATTAGTAAAAAAATTATAAGTAAGTTATATATTTTATCTTGTTGAAATTTATATTCTCAAATTTATTTTTTTAATTATAAGTAAGTCATTCAACTTATATAACCATGAATGGACAAGAGAAAGAATGATAGGAGATCTTTTCCCTAAACTTTTGGTCTTGAGTGTAAAAAGATTAACACCATGAGTAATAGGGTGATAATCCTTATATTTATGATTCTGCATAACATAAATATTATTACAAGTGCACACTTATAATTAAGTTCTATGTCAAAGTATGTATTCGGATAATTGAGTCTAGTATCAATTATTGTATCTATATGGTTTATTGTATGTAATTCATGTTTAAATTATATCTAATATGACTCAATTATTTATGAAAACTTTTTTACACATTAACTTACCCTATTATTTATTGTGCGTTATTTATTTATGTTGCGATGATTACTTATTGATATAAGCAAATGAATAATAAGTGTCAAAAAAATCTTTAATGAAGAAAGGTGACGCTACAATATATTATTTATAGTGATTGAGATTTTTTTTTAATTAATTCAGATATATTTTATTCGTATAAATATTTATTTTAAATAATTATATTAATATCATATGTTTATAACTTGAAACAATGTGTTTTGTTTTATCTCATTTTATAACTTCTTATATTTTTTTTTCAATTATGAGCTAAAATTGAAATATGACAATTAAATTACAGGTTAGAAATAAAAAGATAAAAATAATAATTATATAATCGATTCACAATAAAATGAAAATGCAAAATTCTAAAAAAAAATACTTTAAATGTTCAATGAAAGTTAATTAAGCATAAAACTTATTATAAAATATTCTTAAAATCATTAGACAACATTACTTTTGTTAAAATGTGTGCATGGAGGGGCTGCTAGCTTTGATTTTTCTCCTTAAACATCAGTCGGATCTCCGACTTACAAGTTGTCTAGTTGGATTGATGGAATCTTTATCCCAAATCTGAATATTAAAAGTTGAAACAACTTTATAAACACCAAAATAAAATAGATTTTCCACCAACCCTGCAGATTTTTTGTTAATTGGAGCATAACTAATTTTACACACAAAAAGAAAAATAAATTAACGACATACTTTAGATTTGTTTATTAGGTAGAATTTTGTTCTAATTTTATCAAAACAATAGTGAATCCAATGAAGATAATTTGCAATTAAAATTATGTCTAATATATTCTGGTGTAAAATTGCACATATAAAATTAACTTAAATCTAAATCTCAATTTTGTTTAATCTTATTCCGAAAGTAGGTAAACATAGAGATATTGAGATGGTGCAGAGATTGAATGGAGTAACTTTCCATCATTCAATGATCTATAAATTCTATGATATGCTTTACAAAAGGTGCATTGAATAATGTAGTAGTTATTGCCACCTTTTTCTTTAATGTTTTGCTTTTACTTTCTTCACATCATTATTAATAATTAATTAGTGATCAATAAATGGAAACACATTCCGCTTACCTAATTATTATTATTATTATTATTATTATTATTATTTTCGTTGAATGTTTGTTTATTTAAGTGATAGGAATTTTTTCGGAAATTTAGTTTCGACATGCCCAATTCAAATTTAAATTGGGTGATATGTGTCGGTACATAAATTCAATCACAGTGAATTTAATGGAGTGAAAGAAACACCACGAAGTCTTACATATAACAGAATCTTCACTCATCTCTTTGGAGTGAAGTGAAAATAAATAAATTATTATTTATCCAGAAAAAAGGGAAAACACCAGTTCATCATTATTATTTTCATTATCTATATACAAAACAGGAAAATGGCTACAGTACAAACAACTTCTCTTTATTTCTACTGAATAACACGATAAACCATTAATAAAAGAGAAATGATAAAAAAAAGATAGGAGAAAGATAAGCAAAAAGATGATCTGATATAGTAGGGTCCAGCGATTCCATCACAATGTTGAAATATGAACCTGCTACAATTTATCTATGGGACCCTTCATTAAACTAAAATTCTGACCTATGTTTATTTTATATGTATGTGTGGTAGACACATTTTAAAGTCGTTTATTTATCTTATTCTGCTGCATCCTTCCATTCCAAGCTTCAATGCTCCAACTCTGTGGCCGACATGATCACGTGTACAATAGGAAGATGGAAATTTTGATTTAGTACATGTTTGCTTTACTACTTACAATTATATTCAAAATATTTTAAACATAACTATTTATTATTTGACTTTGAAGTTAGAAATAAAGAAACAAAAACGCAATCGAAATATACACATGTAACATTCATCTATATCAGTTCTTTAGTATAACGGAGAAAGAAAACAGAGAAGAGATCAACCATATAATGCTCAATTTCAGCTATTTATAGAAGAGGATAAAGCACCTATAGATATTTCCTCAAATGTAAATTCTTTAAAATTTAAGATTTTGTCTATCTTGCATTGGGTCTTTTCCATTTTAGAGTTTAATTATAATCTATTATCAGGATAAAAACAATTTTCTTATTAGTTTTATAGATTAGTTACCGATAAATTTATTTTG